ATTCTTCTCCGAAGAGTTTGTCGCGTAAATTATTGAAGCAACGACGGCGAATTGTACGATATGCAATTTTCGTACGGCGAGGTGAGAATCTTCGGAAAAAAATCTTGTGCATTTTCTTAACGCTCGTATTACGGATGAAACTCGATCTTTTATTTGTCGGAGCCGCTGTCAGCGGGTCAAGATCACGCCGGAATGACGTCGTAATGACGGGGGAGAGACGGGTGTTTCGCGGCTGCACCGAGCGAAATCAAGACCAGGGTCCCGGCATCGCGTGCGTGCGATGCGACACGCACGTGCAATTGCAATGAATAGTCGTCGGCTCGGCAGCGGTTAATTGAAATAGTAAAAGTGCCCGAATCACGAATATTACTCGGATTGCAGACGTGATATTTAATATTTAACGCAAAAAACGAATGAGCAATTAAACGTTCCTGATTTTTAACCAAGCATGACGAAAAATATAGTGAGGAAATAAAAAAAGACAAAAATAAAAAATGCCAAGTAAAAAATCTTAAGTGTCTATAATAAATGTAAAAGTATAAAAAAGATCTTTTTATCGGCACACATACGTACGGAACTGAAATAAAATGAGAAGTAAATGTTATAATAGATGTATTATTACTATATACCTCGCAGTGCAAAAAATTTTACATTACTCTCTTTAATCTATATACTAATATTACTTTACGTATCATTTAAATTGTCCCAGCTCATTACGATTCAGTTTTGTTGCTGTCAAGCAAATATTTGCGTGACAATTTGCATAATCTCTATCCACATTCAGCGATTGACAGCGATTGATACACAATACGGCCGTCCGTTCCGCTCGATAAGATATGATAAAATTTAATTCGAACGTTCCTGCGTACATTGAACTTCGCCGCCGCCGGTACGACGTATGGAAACACATATATGCGACACTTGGTTTCGCAAGCGAGCAAAATGCCATACGGTAAATAACGTGGTCAACGGCCCGCCCCAAGCGGCGGGGCAACGCGGGACTTTGCGACGGAAACTGCGACGGAAACGGTTGATCGGCCGCTAGCGTACACGCCTTGCGAAACGGAGTTAAATCGCTGGAACATTTTTCGCGTGCCGACGAGACAGCTCGCTCTCGCGCCCAACAACAATTGGCGGCGGGTTCGCTATCGAAACGCATTTCTCGTAGCGTCGTCGCGCGATACATCGTGTACGCCGCCTCGCTCTTCAGCCGCGTTAGCTTAAACTCGAGGCAACGATGTGAAGTGGTGCAATCGGTCGGCCGAGCCCTCCTACCCTACCGTCATCGATGCAACGTCGATGCACGCCGTCAGAGCGACGCGCGGGACGCAATGACGTCGCGTGACGAAGTTGAATCCCATCGTATCGACGATACCCCGCACTCGTCGTGAAGTCAAAGTCTCATGTCCTCGTGTTATCGTGCCACGCACGCTGGCTTCATTCAGAACTTCGCTGACTGTTGTGCAGCGTGTACATCATCGCCGGAGATATGACACTCCGCGAAAACGACACGTGCGTTGTAATCATGTTGCAACACAATAAATGTGTATCGTAATTTGACATTCTATCTGCACGCAAGTCCTGCTTGCTGCGCTTCAGTAACTCTTAGAGATATTTTAAAATTTGTTATCTAATTTTTTATCCAATTTTTTATAGATGTATCCAGTGTTTTGCCAATTTTTCTCAGAGAAAATTCAACCGTACGCCATTACGATCAAAGCGGTAGGACTTTTAATAATAAAATAAAACTTTTACAATCAAAAAACCACTTAATACGTTATAAATATATAATTATAAAAAAGAAACAAAACGCGCGTTATACATTTTTCATAATATTCGCGATAACGATAATAATATGATGACATAAAGTAATTTCTCTAAATTTTATTATGTCTTGCGAGAATTTTTTCGCGAACGAGACTCAACTCTACTCACGGCTCAAAGAAAATCTTGCATAGAAGCTAGCGGCAGTTTTTCCTCCTCGGTAATGTTCCCGGTAAAACGGGAATGCGAGAAAATCAAGACCACGGTCTCGCGCGAGCGACGCGCGACGTGTCCGTAGCCTTTCGTCGGATTCCTCGCGGTATCGTTCTCGCGCGACCGTGCCAAGAAGCAATTGAGGCGAATTAAAGGGACAATTAGGCGAGCCGGAGCTTCGGGCAGACAGCTGGACGCACCGAGAGACTTAACGGACATCGGCGTCCATATAAATTTTTACGCGCGAAATAAATTCCACGACGACGGCTTTCGATCTCATCCTGATCACAAAAATGATTAACGAACGAAAAATTATTAATTACCAAGAATATTTAATTGCACCGAAAGACTGATTTATCTCTGACTTGTCAAATCGGATGACATCTCTGAGGAGATTGTAATATAAGCTTCATTTTTATTTTGCCTGGATTTTTAATTTTCTTTTAATTTTGAACAAAACTCGAAATGAAAGCTTGATCTTTCCGGCCAAATGACGTTCCAGTGCTTTTAGTCCGAGAATTATAAAGCGAATGGATGTTCGTTGATCCCTGCTTGCATACGCTCATGTCGGAAGACGTGCTCACGCCGAGTTTAAAGACGATCGCGCGATCCTCTCGCCCGTCGTCGACGCGATCTCATTCCGTTGGCTACATCATCCGGATGAGCGAGCGAGCGAACGACAATGGAATCGCGCAATTTCATTTTCTCCTTACTGCTAGTTTGCGACGCGTTACTTTGCGGTTGGCTTAAATCGCGGCCGACCAATTCAACCGCGTGCTCGCGCTTAAACGATTCTCCGAAAGCTGCCGTAAATATGCGCTCTTCTTCTCTGGAGAGGGTCGAGACACGATGAAATGCAAGAATCAGATACCAGAGACGAGGAATAGACGTAAAATCCCAATCTGCAAGACGGATTTTCACACGTGTAGCTTAATTGTTAACTTTTAATAAGTTCTCACCACAAAACGCGTTTGTTTTACTCGTCGACACAATATATTTCCTCATCTGATTATATTTTAGAGTGTATATTAATAATATATATTATTTGTCTACTTTTCCTCTTATTTCTTATTTTGCACTCATTATGCTTTCGCGCGCGATGTATTTTATTTTCCGCGCTCATAAATCTTAGGACTGCACGGCGATAAGATCGATATTCGTTATCAAAGATCGGCGTGCGCCAACACCGTTTCAAAGATCTTATCTCTGATAAGGATATGTCGAAAGTTCTGATGCAAAGTGCGGCGCGTGTGCATCAGACACTTCGTGCGCATTGTGCAAAGTGCGACGTGAGTGAATGGTAATGTTTCTACGGTACGTCCCAACTTCCATATTCATTACATGTCATTACATTATTTACATAGCATTTCTAAAAAAAAGTGCTAATTGCAACGTAAAGCTTCGAGTAAAGTAATTAACTCGTAAAAATACGCGGCTCATTAATTATTCGATTTTTCGCTCTGGGCCTTCTCGTTCTACCCCAAACAGAACCACTCTTCGAGCAAGTGGGTCACAATTGCCCACATTTTTTGAAATATCTCGGTGCCCCGCGCGCACAACACAAGCGCGTTGTAATATCGTAATAACGTAACGCTCGTCGCGCGGCGAAAAGCATAAGGCCCGGTCTACAATGGATGTCGGAAGTCGGAGTCGTAAGAAATTAACCAATCACAATCTATTATTCTCCTTGCGGTCGAAGAATAATGAACTGTGATTGGTCAATTTCTTACGACTCCGACTTCCGACATCCATTGTAGACCGGGCATAAAAGTCACGCGAGTCGACGATTGCGAGTCGGATTATTATCGGCTCCTCGTGATTCAATTCCCATTGGCACGCGCGCGACCGGTTTCGTAACGTTCGTCGTAACAACGCCGCGGCGATCGTCGCCGCGGTTATCGGAAAGCGGTGCCCAAGCACAATTCATTAATAAAACCCTGACGTACGAGCGTATAACGTATAAGCGTAACCGCGTTTTTTATTCATAATGAATGCGACGAATGGTTCGCGCGTTGTTAAGTAATGCGCGCGAGGCACATCGCGCTCCGCGCGTAATGCGCACGTTGCACCGCGTGTGACCTGAATTGTTTATGCAGACGGTCGTCTTGCATTGAATCTGCGAGAGTAATTTATGTGGACGCAGGCGTATGGCGCGCGCTTTTTCCTCCTTTCTCTCCGTTTCTTAAGTAACGGAGCCTTCATTCGAAGAAAATCAGAGGTAATTTTCTCGATTGGCTTAATTGACCGTTTCTTATTTTAAGTATTCGTCAGAGAGCGAGATCGTCTACGTAAGTTTAGCGATTCATGAGCCATGTGGAAACATCTATTTAACCCGTGCATGCAGCCGCGTGTGCGACTAACAATAAGAACGACCACGTAGACATAATTTGAAATTCTACAGCACAATGCTGCTATAAATATTGGTCTCTTATACCCGGCAGAGAAAATGTTTATGCAAGTATCCAAGTGTATTGAATTTCTAATGTTAAAAGAGAAACGGAGCGAGCGGTACTGTCAATTAAAGTCAAGGCGTTTAAATCACTCGAAAGTTCATGATATCGCTAATATACCATAATTTTTTCATGATCAAATTTTAAGGTAGGTTACCTTAAAATGCATCAACAAATGTGCATTTATGAAGTTATCTTTTTAATTCTATTTTCGCATAAAGCAACGTGATTCTATTTTTCAAAAATCTATTTATCGAGCTAGCAGAAGCTCGAATTTTAATTATTATTTGAAATATTTTATAACAATATAGTATTTTGTTCCAAAATAAAATCTAAAATTTTAATTATTTGAAATATTTCATAACAATATAGTACTTTGTTCTAAAAAGATTTTTATAAAATAGTTTTTGAAAGTCCATTTTATTTAAAAACATAATTTTGTCATAATGGAATTAATATTATCTTACGATGTTTTTTTTTTTTTTTTAACAAAAATGGAATTTATCCGATATTCTTTGACCGTTCACAGGAGTGACAAATTCGTAAAGAGCACAGATCGTTTGAGGCACGTACCATGTCTAGATCTTTCCGGCGAACGCTTGGTCTCCCGATGGTCACGCAAGAATTATTCCTCGAACCAGATCTCTCGATCGTGTCCAGCGTCCTTCTGATACGTGCGTCGCGACGCATCGCGTCTAATATACACCTCTCTACGGGGTGTCCACGACGTTTGTATCCCCGTCCGTCTTCGCCCCCGCGCTCGATCCTCGTCAAACGATCGCGTTATCGCCACCCTCTTACCACTAGTAACCATGGCCGCGTCGCTATTACTACCACCGCGCCACGAAGATGCTCCAATTGTGCGATCTGTACAAAAATAGAGTCTGCAATCTTCCGAGTAATGAGTAACCGGCGTCTAACTTTTTTCTTGCGTCGTCGAGGGCAAGCCTCTTGATCTCGTTTCGACCCCCCCCCCTCGCAGCATCCGTCCTAGAGGAATTTCACTTCGTCAGGGAAACGCGCGCGTTCGTCCTTCCTCTGTTTACCTTAATTTACTCACGATGATCCCTTAATCCCGCGACGCTCGGCGGTGTGGGTGGATATTAACCTTATGTACACAGAAGCGGATGATCAACGGCAATTTTAGACGCACGTGGAGACCGAGCGATGCCGCGGTGCAAAATTATGTCTCGTCCACGTGCCGATGTCAAGCATGGCGTATAGTCGCGTCATCCGAATTCTCGTAAATGGATTTTTCGTCCAAATTTTCGTAAATGAAGCTTCGGAACGGACGTCAGCAACAAAGAGATAATAGTATATATAAATAGGCAGCATATAAATACATATATTTTGGCCAATCATGGGTATAGTACAGAGGTGTACATGGTTCTCTCTTTTTCTTCAGCACCCTACGACGTCTGTCCTGTAATCGTGGTTCGTTTTTATTAGTTACGCGACGTGAGTAACAAATCCATGTATTCGACGTAAATTGAATGGTGTGCGTCCCTTCAAATCTGGCAAATCAGTTTTATTCAGTCTCTGACACGTAACGCTGTCATTACGTTATTTTTACAAAAATATGTAGACGTGGGATGGACTTGAGGGTTCTAAATATCTTGCAACACAAAATTACAAATTAACAAATTAAATTTACGAGCTATCTGTCTCTCTGTAACTGTGCCTAAAATTATCTGACGAATCACGTCAGATAATTAAAGGCAGCAGCTATCAAAGGAGTTCAGAGTCTAGAAAAATTTCAAGAATACGTCTGCATTCTTACGTGCCTTATTGGATTTGTCCGAGAATGTCTGACATGTTTTCCGAGCTTGTTCTCGCTGACGAAGAACTTGCGAAGAACGTAAGTTGCGAGAATCGCCTATCCGTGTTTTCCGGCAATTTCATAGCGACGTCATATAACGAGATGATTGATCTAGCCGACCCTTGAGGAACGCAGATTTCCATAAGTTAATCTTCTATCACGCGATTGGCAAAAAGTCCCGCGCGATCGACATATGAAAAGGACGCGTTGTTCTTGTATGACTAATCGCATGACGTAGACCACTTTTGCACCAAGTACACTTCGATCTTCGCAAAAACGGTCTCACTGAACTGCAATTTCCGAAGTTCCCGTCACGTGTGAGGCAACATATGTTCTTGGTATTAGAGAAATCGCAAGGTGCGTGTCCGCACTTGTGTATATATGTATATACATCGCGTTTATTAATATAATGACACACTCGAGCTCGAACGTGTTAATTCGATCGAGACGAGAAAATAGAAGTTCCACGAATTAGCACTCGTTCGGTAAGTGCAGAAATAACCGTGGACTTCGCGCAGGGTACGGCACGTAATACCGTCCGGTCATTTTTTCCCTCTCGAGATTCCTAGCTTCTTCTTCTTCTCGGGGATCGAAGTCCAAGATGTAAGAACTATGGACCGCGAAAACGAGAGAACAGTAATTCTGTGCAATTTGCCACGTCTGCTCCTACTTAATATGTCGTTAATTTAAGGGGGAATACCCAATTAGAAGCGCGAAAAAAAAGGCAATTTTTGTGAATTTTTTTAAGAAAACCTATATGAATTATGGTATTGGTATTTTTTCTACATGAAAGTACACACTTTTAAGAATATGTTAAATTTTTTTTATTAAAAAATATTCAATATTGGCGGAGTATTCATGGGTTCTGTCGACTGCCGCAAAAAAAAGGTCCTCCGTGGCGACCACTCCCATTTCATTTGTAATCATCAGAATCAAAAAAACCAAAAAGATTATTAAAATTGACACTATAATTTAGTCTTTGTCGTAGGGGTTTTTGAAAATATCGATTTTTGACAAAATGGCGGGCGTTTGAATTTAAAGGCTCGATTTTTAGGGAAAAATTCGGGTTTATTTTGCCGATAAAAAAAACTAAGTCACTTAAAAAAAAATCCTACGACAAAGACTAGATAATTATGTATAGAATAACCTCTATAAATTTCAAATTGATCGGTTCAGTGGTTGCCGAGATATTTTGGTCACCGATTTTTAACATGGTTTCGAAAAAAACGCGTTTGAAAATTGAACAATGAATAAATCGCGAAAATTTTTCAATTTACATAGAATTATCGATTCCAGGTCCATAATATAAGTCCTCCACCTTGCTTGGAATGCAAAAATTGAACAATCAATTTTTTCGAACTTTCTAATTGGGTATTCCCCCTTAAGTAAAACAACGTTAATTTTATTTAACTAAACCAATGGAGATGAAATAATACTGTCTTGTGGTGAATAATAAATTTTAACACACATGGGTTAGATAAAAAAAAACAAAATATTATTTAACCTAAGGTATTGGTTTAAATTTCATCCTTTAATATTTAACAGTGAACAACTGCGGGAAAACACGCATTCAGAGTCGAATCAAATTCGCGTACTCTCCTCGCATTCGCGTTGAAGCATCCTTGCTATTTCTGCGAACATATCGCGGGGAAGATTCCGCCTGGAAATCGCGCGCGGTGTTCCCTGCGTGCGCACGCGGTGAAATCGCACGCGGCGGGTTTGCGCGCGAGGCCGAGACGACGACGATGACGACGCTCGGCGACGCAGCCGCGATTCAGCCCGCGTGTTGCATAAATTCATCGCACGGAAAGCCTTTCCAATTCCTGGCATGTTCCTGTACCAGCGCGGCTTCTGTGCCGCTTCTCGGCCGCGAGTTCCCCGGGTACACACTCCGCAAGTAGTCAGCCGCACCCAGTGCTAAGAGTTTCTGCGTCGTTGCGACGCAGGTCTCGATCACGACGTCGATTCGCAGTCGTGCACGTGCAACCGGAAGAGATCTCTCTAACTGCTAGTTGTTTCGTTAAATATTTGCCGTACGTAAGTGGAAATTAAGGCAAACTTTCCAAGATTCCGTAAGCGTTAATAATCGCGTTGTACATTATTCTCTCTATAGTCATTCCTGATTCATTATTCGGATGTTCTTCGCGCATTTCCCACGGAGAATCTTTTCCCATTTTTGTTCCCCCGAGAACTCGATCGATCGGTGATCAGAACCGCGCGTTAATTTAACCGGAGTTAAAGAAACGCGCGCGAGTGCGCGGCGCATTCCTCGCGATGAAATTACTTGGCGGCTATATATAGATCGGCCCCGCGGCCGTTCCTCTATATATCTTATTATGGTAAATGAAAGTCCCCCCCGGTGGTGTGGTTACACCGGAACGATAGCTGCCATATGGGAAGCTTTTAGAAACGCGCGCGAGCAGGCGAGCTATGCGCGGCGATACGGGGCCTCTCGTCGTGCGTTAACGTCGTGAAAGAGCACAGTTTAATTCCCCATTCACTCGCTAAGGCAAGCGCACGCACGCACGACGATAAATTCGATGAACGCGCGGCCGAGGTTGAAATTCCGCTCGCGCGATGTACGCTAAGGACGTGACACAAGCCACACGTATCCGCGATATAGAAATCGTCGGCAGCCGCCAATCGGGGAACTGGTGAAATACCGAGAAAACATCGGCACGAAAAAGACGCTTTTTTTTTCGACAAACGTTCGCACTTACCCTGTAACTAATGCCGCAGAAACATGCGTTATTTATCGCACACAGCACGGAGAGCTCGAGTTAAACGGGGAACGAGGAGAGTTACGCGCTACGCTAAATCCTACCGCAAACGGGCTAACCGATCGCTAAGTGGCACAGCGACGCTGTTTTGCTGCTGCGATGATTAGTATCAGGCGCAAACGATCTTTGCAAACATCAATACTTAGATCTCGCCGGGAGCAGCTCTAACTCTAAATTAGCTAAATTAACCCGGACTGACCAAGCCTGGTCGTGGGTTTAGGTTTCACCGACCTGGATATTAACGCTGTACGGAATCTGAAGATCGCGAGATGAGAGGACCTTGGCGATAGATGGAAAAGAAGACTAGGTCTCATCTAGAACATTAGGTCGGTCGTATGTTTCTCGAGTTCTCCTAGAATGACGTATCTGATGGGATCTCGAGCATCGGAATGTCGAGCGTAATCGTCGATTACCATTGCTTGTAATGACGAGAGATATTTTGCGGGCCAGACAAGATGCCGCCAACGGTCGCCGCGAACGACATGGCGTGTTCTCGCCATCGTCGGACCCACCGCGGCCAGGAAGAGAGGGAGAAAGAGAGAGAGAGAGACCACATTGCTGCCAGGCACTGTACAGCTTGGTTATACGTGCATGCGCGTACGCGAGCGAGCTCTCGTTTTATTTGATTTCTGCCGCCGCGCTGCCACGCTGTCTAGGCGACTAGCTCGAGCTACGTTCTATTCTCTCCTTCCCTCTCGCGCTGGTTGCGCACCTCTATCCTCCTTTCCCCGCGTCTCCTTCGCGCGTACACGCACACTTCGCCTCGTTCACTTCATTTGCTTTGCTTCGTCTTCCCTCCCCTGCGCCTCTCAGTCCCACTCTCTTCTTTCTTCGTTTTTTTTTATTTTCTTTTTTTTTTGTGCTTCTATTCCTCCTCTTCTCCCTTTATCTCCCTTTCTTGCCTATTTCTCCTTTTTGCAATATCCTTTCGCCCCGATCCTTTTTTCCCTTTGTCCCTCTTTCTACGAGAGTTTCCTTCGGACCCCTTGCCTTTCTACGGCGCACTCGCGGCCCTCTTGTCGTCAGCGTTTTCTTTTCAAGATCTCCGCAGATATAAATTCCATCGAACTCGAACATACCTTAAAGATAATTCCGAATAATTTTATAGATCCAAATATCTTTTTAACGATAAGCATTAATTTATATTAACATGTAAATAAATGAAAAATAATGCTAAAAGAAGACATCCCGATTGGAAGACAACTCGCGGA